TTATTAAACTTTTAACCGGCCCGTAATCGAAATCGTCATAAAAATACTCGGAAGGTCGCGATAATCGCTAACCGCGTGCGTAATGTATGTTTTGGTAACCCAATCGTCGCGGACAATGCGTCCGCATTGTTTGTTGATCCATTGTTTGCAGGCGTGACGACGGTGACGAGGGGGGGGGGGGGGGGGGGAGACCGACGCACGTAATTGTCCCATTGTCATGTTGTCATCCGCACCCGCACGCCTAATTTGACGCGCTCCGGCTAGTCAACGCTCAAGGGAAAGTTTTTCGATTTTTCTTTTCGATTTCCGACGCCCGACACGAGCGTCCAGATTTATATTGTTTATTTATTAAAATACGTACCTTTTTACATTTATCCGGTGCAAGTACATAATTCATATAAACGAAATCTATCAAATCTACTGCCAATTATCCCCACCCTTTTGGGGATAGAACGAGAGGGCCGGGTAGAATAATTTAAAAAAAATTATCTTAAGTTTTGTTGTTATTTCAACAACTTTATGGCATTTGTTTAAAATAAAGATATGTGAATCAATAAAAAATTAGTTGGGTCAAATAAAAAAATGAAGTTTTGACATAAGACTTTTTGATTTAGCCCAGAGGTCGGGGAACCGGGCTGAATTACCCCAAATAGGGTAAAAATTACACTTTTGTGAGTAAAAAGTGTATATCAAATAATTAAACAATTTAGCGTCAGACCACGCCAGCTCACTCAACACACTCGAGTTTGCGCAGTAAAGCACAGCGCCGGCTAAAGTCTGTTCATAGATATAAGAAAGTGACTAACTGATACGAATTAAGGAAAGACCCGGGCAAGCTGTAAGAATGAAATATGGCCGAACAGGTCCGTACTTTGCTTAGAATTTAATTATTTGGGGTTTTGTTAGGAAAGATACTAAACAATATTTATTTATTTATGTATGTATTATGTTTAAATCTAAAATAAAATTACAAATTATTTTTATTACCTACTTAAATTACTTAAAATTATTCGCATAATATATCAGTATCACTGTCGCTATCATCGCCTGTTCTAATTATTATTTGTTCTATATTATTTGCAATATAGATGTACGATTGTTCTGCTTTTTCTATATGTTTAACAGAATTTGCCCAACATGGTGGAGGGATGTTAAAAACTTCGGTTTCTATAAAGTTTGAGGACATTGGTGTTAACACGGGGAAAAACATGGTTACGACGAATGGCAGATTTCAGTTGGTGTCAAACATGTTCAATGGGACTAAATATACAGTGGTAGGTGGAAGCCTTAAAACTGTATGCCCTAGATTTTTTGCATAATTATCACAGACGTATTCCTTTTGTAGGTTAATTACTTGCTTTTTAGTACAATCTTCGTGAAAATAAATGTAGTTATTATACATGTGGTTTTGGATTGTTGCTTTTGTGTCACATGAGGAAGGGATTTTAGTCAACTGCCTACTGTGATAACTTGCATTGTCCAATACAATTACGCTATTAAGAGGAATGTTTGGAACTAGTTTGTTTTTAAACCAACTTTCAAATAAATCAGCGGTGGTGTTTTCATGGTAATCCAGAGAAGAATCTTTAATATTTTTCGCAGACAGAGAAAGTCCATTTGGAATAAAACCATCTTTAGAGCCAGCATGCGAAATAGTTATTCTTTAACCTCTTTTTGATGACGCGTTTGTTTTACACTTATCAGTTGAGTCAACCTAACCCTTTTCCGGGATATCATAAGTGTCGAACCAGATTTCATCCAAGTAAATAATTGGCCTTTGCTGTTCTCTGTAAATCCTATTTTTTTCTAGATATTCCAGTCGCCATTTCCGAATTCTAAAAGATTCCATTAAAACTTGCCTTTTGGCAATTTTTTTAAATCTAAAACCCATGTGTTGAATACATTTCCATAAGGTAGTTCTGCCACATTTAACACCGGTTTCATCTTTTTCAAGCCTCCTAATTAAGATATCTAATGTAGGCACGCTTTGTTCCTCGTATAACTGGCAAATTTTACGCCGTATTATATCTCGATCACTTTCATCTACACTCCATACAGTTGATGTTGGAATTTTCGTCAATGTGGCCGTTTCTTCTAAAAATGCTTGCTTGCTGGCACCACGTTCAATGAGAGTCAAACAAACATTGTTTATAACTTCATTAGTCTCAATAGAATAGTGTTTTCTACATTTGGGCGGGAGCATCTCCTGAGATACACTATACTCGCACATATTTTGCATAATTCGCACACGATTCAACACACGCTGTATTACACACGAAATAAGAATGATTACTAATAAACTTGAACTAAGTAGTATACCAAACCAAAGAATATTAAACACAGGTAGGTATAACATTATTTTCTATTACGGACCACAATTTTACTTGAATTTAAATTCCGAAACTTTATGTAATAATCTTGTTGCATTGTATGTTAATGACCATCCTTGGATAATCCCATTAAAAAGCAATTGGTCACTTTCTAATATCTATGAACAGACCATACCTGCTCAGTACGTCAAGATACAAATACATTGACGAGTCAGGGAGCAAGTTTTTACTAGTTTTAGAAATTCCTTAAATACGGTTTTACACAAATAAAAGACAATGGTACAATGAAACCACAGTGTGTTGTATGTATGAAGGTACTGACTTCAGAATTTTTCAAAAAAAGTCGATTGAACAAACATTTAGATAATTTGCATTCACACCGGTCTTCCAAACCGCGAGAATACTTTGCAAATGTAGAAATGTCTGTTAAAAGACAAAGATTGAATAGCAACTTGTTTGGTGCATTTGATCACCGTTCAGCATCAAGGGCCTGGTATAGATAAACTATTGGTGAAGATTTGGTTAAACGAGCATATGAAAATGCAAATGAAAAAAACCTTGCCTAAAAGACCATGAAAATTGACGTTTTCTTGGATAAATAATTAGCTGTAAATGAAAAACTATAAAAGATGATATAATTTGGTTTAAACAGTATCGTAAATTTTTATATTTACCAAAGTTTGCTATGATTTTGAATTTCGGCGAGACGTGAAAGACACTTTATACAGGGTGCGTGCACAACAAAATGACATCGACTTTGCGAAAGTTCCATAGTTCCTTAAGGCGTGTAAAGTAATGTGAACTTAGTTTAACTGATAACAAAAATTGAAACAATTTTGGGGAATCGCATAAGATTGTTTTAAAAGCTTAAAGTTTTGCCGGATTTCTGGAAATTTTGTTATTTGACACCCATTTTTAAAAATGGAAATAAAGCAGACGTCTGCAAACTACAGACCCATATGGAACCTAAGCTGTATTTCCAAATTCTTCGAAAAGATAGTTGATTAGTTGAAGTTCATTTTCAGCTCAACAATAATTGACAATCAGAGGTCCACAGAATTGAATCTGGTTACTTATGTTGACAGCTGGTCTTCAGATGACTCTTGTCCAATGGATAACTAGCTACCTAACGGATAGATTTTTATTTTCCTATCCCCTCTGGTGTACCACCCTTATTGATGATATTTAAATCTTCTAGATTCTTCTTCTATCAAGCTATTTCTTTTCAGCATGATTGTCTTAAATTTCAATCTGACCCCGAGAGACTGAACATAGCAAAATGCCGCTCCATTGTCTCAGGTGTTAAACATCAGTGATCTAGGAGTAATAATGGACTCCACTTTATTTGTTAATCCCTTAGGTAGGCTAACCAAAAACTTTACATGTCTTTTTATCATCCTGAAGAATGTATTTGTGATCGCAATAGCACTCATATGATCCAAGTTTGTTCACACTTCACACTCATTAATATCGGCACAAGTTTTCTCATTGACGTTGCAGTAACCAGACGGACATAAACAGTGGTGTGGCAGACAATTCAGTCTTGAGTTCGAGCACATCCCGCTTTCATCAAAAGTATCTAAACAGTGTTTCTTTCCATCACAAACGTGCTTTAAGTCGACGCAAGCTTTTTTGTCTTGGCATAGAAATTTTCCTGCCTTCAAGGTGCACTTCTTTGGATCAAAATGGTGTTCACAATCTACTTCATCACTGTTATCTCCACAATCATCGGCTTTATCACATCTCCATTCATTAGGAATACACACATTATTTTTGCATTCAAAACCATCACAATCTATATTCTGCAAACAACCAATCCCTTCATCTGAACCATCCAGACAATCTGCTTCTTAATTGCGCACCCATTCCTTTGGAATACATAAATGATGAGTACATTGCCATTCGCCTTCGTGACAGGTGGAGTTCATATGCATTATTTTAAAATTTTTGCAACCTTCTTCATCGGAATAATCCCCACAATCATTTGTATTATCACAGAGGAACGTCCTAGCAATGCATAGATTATTTTTACATCTGAAAAAAGTGGGTTCCTTACGCAACACCAAAACTCTTCATCAGAATGTGTGCTAAATATGCTTGGCTTCATTAAAAAAACATCAGACTTCACAAGTATTTCTGCTATTAGATTATTATGCTGCTGCCTAGTTAGACCTATATTAGAATATTGCAAGTACAAAGAAATTTTCTGAGGCAAATGGCGTATAAATCAAACATTCTCTTCTGTGATGGGTATAGCTACGACTTTAAATTGCTCCAGGAGAGATTTGAACTACCGACATCGGCGGTTAGAAGAGATCAGACATGAATTATATTTTCCCATATTGCTTTCTTTATTGATGATCTAAGTTTCATCAACGCGTTTTATCGGCTCTTTAGGCGCACGAATGTTGGACATAATCCGCTCATCGCCTTGATTATCTTGAAACCAGCTTTAATAGTTTTATGAGTATCCTGAAGCGTCATGTGATATAGGCATAAATCTTGTACTAAAACTGGCCAAGGTACATTATTAAATAAATAAATGATTAAACTCTTAAGGGTATAATAGTTAATTTATGCTCCCGAAACAAAATTTGCAGCTAATTGTTACAATCAACAACCAAGTTTTTGTAACCGAATTTTAAGGACAAAATCAACGCAATCACTTACCGGAATAAGATGGGTAACTGCTTCTTCTATTGTCCAACCCTGAAGGGGGTGGTACACTGCCATAGGGTCCCTTTTCTCTGGGCGCATAGTGACCCAACATCCTATGCCCCGGCAGATCCAAGGAGGCCCTGTGAACAAACGCGAACCCAATAAAAAGCTGATTTTACATATGTTACTTATTTCATATGTGTATACTTATACAAAGCATTGATAATTAAGTGAAATACAAAATTGTAATTTAATAATTTTAACAATTTATTTGATTTTTTGGGGGTCCGGCAAAGACAGACACTGTTCAAGCCTCAATTTGATGTAAACCAAATTTCCCTAAGAACAAGGAAAAAAATAATCAAAAAACAAAATTAAATATGTTACGCAGAGTTTAGAATACATTTATCATTAAATACAGTGTTCAATAAAGAGAGAAATCGCGGGACAAAGGACAAAGGAGGGGGTAGGGGTAAACAGCAGAGTGATTGTCCGATACAGAAATTAATGAGTTTCAAGAATATACCGAAAAGACTTTTCTTTTCGATGTTGTGGTATTCTCAATATAACATTTTCCTTATGTTTCATTATAAAGATATTAAGGAGATTTATACTTAAGTATGGCGAAATATGATCCTGCCGGCGAACTCCATATTCAAGCCGCAATCATGAGTTTTGAATTTTCTGGATAGATTATTGGTCAGCAGAGTACAGGCAGGTTGCGTACACAATGCAATGATTGAACTGTGATAAAACGATGGATTCACACAGCAGTTTCTTTATAACAATTGGAAGAAATTATCTATGACTGAATGTTAACTTTAAATTCCCATATGCTATTCCCAATTTGTTTGTAATGTAATCCGTGGCCCGCAGTCTAGAGTCCAAGATCAGTCCTAAACTTTTCGATTAATCCGAGTATGGTATAGAAGTGTCATTAATTTTTATGATCATTTTGTTTTTGACTTTACGCACCTGGTAGTCATTTCCAAAAGCCAACACCGACGACTTAGTTGAATTTAATTGCAGTAGATGATAGAATGCAATTTTATATTTATTTTAATAATATTTTATAATTTCATGATTTTGAAAAGTAATTTTGAATGTCGTCAGCGTATAGGTGATAAATACAACATTTTAAAGCTTTTACAAAGTTAAACGTACAAATTGTACATGTAAGGGACCCAATATGCTACCTTGTGGTACACCTAACTCAACGGAGAGTGGTCTTGCTAAAGTCTAACAAAATAAAGATGTTCCGGGTAAAGTCAGAATAGATAACCACACAACTTGGTCAGAACATTTATCAAACCTCTGTAAGAAGATTACTAAGTCCTGTTATTCTTTAAGGATCTCATCAAAATATCTAGCCTTGGAACATCTTAAAACAGTTAATTATGCAAACATTTTTTCTGTACTCCCATATGGAATAATTTTTTGGGACAGTAGCACAGGTGCGAATACGCACCATTTTGAACCTGTGCAAACAACATTGTTAGGTTAGGTTAAAGGAGACGAGACTTCTCACAGTTCCCAGGTTTATATATATTTTTCACAGAAACTTCCACAGGCTACTACCACTATTTACTCTTCTGGAGTCCTGTTGCGTCATATATACTCTTTGAGAGGGTAGGTAGAGCTTTGGTAGAAAAATTAATTGCATGCAAAAATTTTAATTTTAGCGAATAAGATTTCATGTTCTTTGAGCCTAGTTAATATTTGTCTTCCTGTCTGTCCAATGTATTCTTTGATTTTGTTCGATTTACAAATGACAGAAGAACGAAGAATCCAGAAGATTTGTTGCACTTATTCGTGCTTAATAAGTTACCAATAGAAATAAAGGTAGAAAAAAGCTTTAAGACTTACAAAAACCAAACAATATCAATAGACCTAAAACCTTCAGAGTTCTTAAATTACAGGTTTTAAATTAATATGGTCTTTGTAATTTACCTTTTTATTCTTATCTCTGTAATTTTTAAAAAAGGTCAATTATTGTTTTTTCAGATTTTTAGCTGAAAGGTTTAAAATCTTTTGAATGTGCATGATCTTCTGTAAGTAGATAATTAATAATAATTAAAACAAGTATGATAGTTGGCTTTTTGATTCCGTTCTATTAATTATAAAATATGTGGTAGATCTAATACTAAAATATGAAATAACTAAATTTGCATTATGATGGGAACCTATGGAGGTTCAATTACTAATTTTTTTTACGACGTTTATTTTGTTCAATTGTGACAATACCTTGTTGGTTTGTTTGCATTTTTTAAAATTTAAAGATCGTTTAACACTGACTTTAGACTTAGACAAAAAGTGACAAATATATACAGGGTGTTATTGCAATGAGGTTGAGAGGCGAATGACAAAAATAGTTGTTATAAAGATTGCTGCCTGGTATTTCATATAAAATCCATATCCCACAGCGTCAGAGTTGTACAGCTGGGCTGGATAAGATTATGAAACAATAATCGATTGCATAAAATACCGATTCACAACTACATAATACTATAAGATATCAGTAAAATAACAACCTGTACTCGTGCCAAAAACAAAACTAAAGGTAGTTACGGATCAGTAAATTATAGACGACAGGACTCAGGATGAGCCTACCAACTCAATGGTCCTTGACTTCTGATTTGTTTCTAGTTCTTGAATTTTGCATAGTAGGCCTATATTGACTGGGTCAAAATTAGAATGTTCAATGTTTTAATTGGATTTTAGATTGATACATAGATAGAATTTATTTATATTTATTTATTTTTTTATTTATATTTATTTATAACCATGGCACAAATACAAGTAGACAAACAACAAATAATAATGAAAGTAACATAACCGTTTTTATTATTTTTATATTTTACAACCAAATTTATGTTTCTTATATATATATATATATATATATATATATATATATATATATATATATATATATATATATATTTATGTTGGGAATACCATAGATACAGCTACTAAAACAGTCACCCAAAAATTCTTTAACAGAATAATGAGCCTTGTTTATAAGTAGTTTTTTGACTTGAGCAATTAACTGTTTTCGGGACAAGGATTTCAATGGTGGACGTATGTGGTTGGAAAATTTAGTAATTGGCACTGGCTCTGTTTGATTCGGGCCTCACAGAATCAAGAGATAATCTATTTTGTCCCCTAGTATTGTCATCATAAGCATACAGTAAACAGTTTATAATTTTATTTTTTGAAATATGGATTTCATCGTCTGCTATTGATATAGTGGTGGTATCAGCAAATAAACTTATTCTAGCCTTCTTACAGTTTTGAAGTTTATGATGATAAATGTCATTAATGTACATTGAAAATAATACTGGACCTAGAACCAAATTCTGAGAGATGCCGTTCAACACCCTCAAAATGCTGAATGTTTTCTGTCCACATGCCACATATTGATAACTCTTACTCAAGTATCAAAATTAAATTTTTCCAACTTATTGACCAATACCGAATGAGAAACACAATCCAAACACTTTTTTATATTACAGAAGGCAAAATTAATGTACATTCCTTTTTTCGTGGCCCTTATTATCTCCGATAGAGGATTAATAGAGTCGATTGTTCCCCTCTAAGTGTTTCATAATCTGTATTTTCATTGAACAACCTTTGAAAAATGGTTACCAAAGAGATAGGTCGGAAATTGTTGGGTGTTAATTCGCCGCCATTATGTATAGGATATTTTAGGCACATCAGGAAATATATTAGAGTCAAATATTTCTTTGATTAAGTACGTTATTGGATTTTGTTGTGATTTTGTGATCAAAGCTACATTTATTTTTTAAAGTATCGAACAATGTCCTTCAACCGATTAAAATCTTATCAAATTTAAAAGAAGGGCAGTTTTCACTGCATTTATATTCATTCCTATATCTACTACTCGGTAAGTTATTAATTATTTCATTAGATAAATTTACAAAGTCGTTATTAAGAGCATTAACGTTCTAATAGGTAAGGAAGACTTAGTGTTTGACCCCTTGGTGCCTCTATTTTCATGAATTATAAACCACCAGGCTAGAGGATTGCTGCCTTCATTTGTTACCTTATTTTCATATATTCATTAATATAAAAACTTTTATATGTAATTAACGGTAGTAACAGAAAAGCTTTGAAAGTGAATCATTTATGTCCCTTTGCAGTATTTTTCACTATGATGAATACCTTTACTGGAAAAAAGGTGTGTGTAAGTAACTGATAAATATACACTTCATACTTAAACAAACCGAGCTCACCCACACCATCGAGAGAAGAAAACTCGAATATTTTGGTCATATAATGACAAATGTGAATTACTGCACCTCAGAGATTGTCATTTTGGTAGCCGATCTAAAGGAGGTGGTAAAAAAGAAGAAGAAGAAAAACACCCTCGATTTGATGTACTCGATAATTAATTTGTTTCAACGTTTCATTTCAACTCACCTCTGAGTGGCAGGGGCCATACCGATCTGCGATCTCCATTGTCGATTCTCCTGGGGACTCAAATCTTCCGGTTTCAACACTCTGGGCGGGTCTTTGGCGCCCTTCAACTTTCTCGCGGGAAACACGAACCCTTTGCCGTACTTCGGATCGCGAAATCGCACGCACACAACTATGTTACCGTGAACGGGGGGCAACCCCTTCACCGGTGACGTCAGGCTTCTACTGGAAAAAAAAAATCACACTGATGCATTGGCGAACGGAACATAGGAAATCCCATGTAAATTTTTAGGTGCCCAAATATTGGCTGTACATTTTGTAGTAAAAGTTCTAATATGACTTTTTGACGAGATCTGTATGATTAACTCATGTGCCGAGTTTTAATAAATTTTAATTAGCCAATCTTCAGTTATTGAATTAAATATGGTGGCAAAATTTCAAAAGGTCAGTACAACAAAGAACAGCAGCAAATATTTTTTGTGATGCTATTTCCAAGCTGGACGATGACATATCAAATAAAGGTTGGTGCGCAATAAGCACATTTGGCTTCACACATTTCAAATAGACTTAGTATGTAGGTATATAATTATGTTTTTGAACTCCCGTCTCGAAAATACCTAATTACACACCGATCTAGCGTGCGGGAAGCGTCACTTTACCACGTCAGTTTCGTTTCCCACGGATCCGAGCCACTTCGGACATTTCCGGGATTTTACCGCACGGCTTTGGGATCAATCGGATGATTTCGGAGATATTTCCCACGCCTTCAATTTGATCTTCAATTACCTTTACCTTAATTGTTCCATAATATACTAATTTTCTTAGGTTCGAATTCATATTCGGTTCTTAAGACCTTCTTACCACTTAAAGCGTTCTTGGCATGAAGTTCATTTAAAGAACGATTTAAGCAACAAAGAAGCTTCAAAGAATGACTATAAATTTGACCTTCAAGTCTTTTTAAAAATAATTAATAATTATAATAAAAATAGGGCTACAAAATATTACTAAAAAAAGACATGATTTAAAATAAACATTATTTTTTAACCAAATATTCAAACAACCTACGATTAGTAGTTAAACAATATCCTAAGCGATCATAAAATTCATTTCTAACATTGCTTAGTTGATATTGTGAAATACAGTCACATTCTAAAAAAATAACGTTTTATTTTTTTTTTTTTTTCATTTTAAAAAATGTTTCAGTTTTTTTGAATTTGCGGCGCACCCTGTATATTTTTGTAAAATTGTCAAGAATAAAAGTTTATAGAGCCGTATCTTCTGCTTCTTCTGGTTCAAGAATTTTTTTGGTCTCGTAAACAGTTTTTGAAAAATGTTTTTTGTAGACTCTTGCATACGCTATTTTTTATTTTTTTTAGAATACTTCCCGACCACCCAACCTCCCCATTTTCAATAGGTTCCGTCACGGGGCAAAGCTGCATAGACGTGCTAAATATGAAGTCGATTGCTTCAAATTTCGGACACTTATCGTGTTTCATAGCAATGTTCAAAAAACAGTCGAAAATCGCGAAGAAAAGATGGATGCCGGCGTCGGATGGAAGCCTTTTCTTACAGGCTTATGTATTACGTGTACGGTTCAAAAGGAGGCAAATTTCAATTTTGTAACTCCAACGGTTCGAAAGCTATTCAAGAAAAACCAAAAGACGAGAACTGAGAACGAAACGTTCCTTTTGTTTTGTTTTGTTGTGATTTGTTTTTTTTTTTAATATAGCTAATAACTTCGCTTATATGATAATAATAATACAATGTTTTCTTTTGCAAAATAAAAGTGAATTTATTTATTCTACGCAGTTTGGTTAGTAAAAGAAATAAGTAAAAATAATTTCCAGAGGGTGAGTATTTTTATACTTCATTTTTCCCTATAAGCAACTTTTTCTAATAAGAATTTTTTTTATGGGAAATGAGTTGCTTATACGGGCGTTCACTGTATACAGAAAAATCAGTCTCACATCACACTCACCCGTCGATCTCCACCCTATCGTCGGACAGTAACACGGTGCCGCGCATTCCTTCGATGGAAATCGCGTTTTCCGCGTTTTCATCGATCTTCGCTTTATACAGATTGCTGAGCATGTCGTAGCCTTCGTTTTTCACTGAGACGTATAACCTGTCGTCACCTCTGACATTACGTTTTTTCTCCGCCTCGCTCAGTTGATCGTAATAGGGCTTCAGGGCTTTGAATAAGCGCTCTTCGTCGACGAAGGGCAACAGGGCGACCCCCTGCCACGCGAATTTCTTGCCGTTCAGGTCGATTTTGAAATCGTCCGGGTAAAAATCGATGATCGGAGACGCCTGAAATGATTTCGGTTTAAAATTAACAGAACATTATAATTTTCTGAGCGTACAGGATCGGACATTAGTTTGGCAAATGGTTCGGGTACGTGTTTGCTACTGGCTGCCGGAAATACGCCCATCAGTTGCTCCAAGGGATTGAACTATAACGAAAAAATTAAACAACATATTTATTTTTCACGGTTCGTACTCACGGGTTTGGTATCTGCTTCGAATTCGGTGCTGAGACCGGCGATATTACAAAAGTCCGACGCAAACGGGGCATAATGATAGGGATAATACCATTTCCAGGAAGCGCATCCCTGATAATAGTACCGAAGAACCCAACACAAACCTCTGACGTAATGGAGAGCAACAGAATACCTGGCACGTAAAAATCAAGCCTTAGTGTCATAATCATAAAATTTCCAGTAGATTCGATAATCCAGATATTTGACTAGTCCGGATTGACGCCAAGCTTAAGTTATGTACTGTAACTTTTTTCTTTTTTGAGATATCAAGGTAAACAAAAAAATAAAATGTACCGAGTTAATAGGTAAGTTTTTTGGAACACCCTGTATTTATGTGTTATATGATGTGACACACTTTATATTTTAGTAGACTCGTCTTTGACAAATTAAAGTAGAAAAAAAACATTGGAAATGACAAGACACGCGAAAGTAAAAAATTCTTTAAACATTTTAAATACTTCTGTATGTGACCACCATTTTCCTGAACGCATTTCTCATACACTCTATTTTTTTATGTGTTCCCAAAAGAAAAAATCCATTAAAGTTAAGACGGGGCTGTTGGCTGGCCAATCCATAGTTCCGCCGTTTCCTATCCAACCCTTGGGATATTCCATTTTAAGAAAATTTTTAACTTGCACAACATTGTGCGGAGGGGCACCGTCTTGCTGCCATATAATCAGCGCTGATATATTTAGGGGTAAATCTTCTATATATTGTTCTATTTAATGTTCTAAGAGTTACAAATAATAACCTCCAGTTAACTTTTGATCTATAAATATCCGACGTTAATTAATTGATACCCCTGGGTTTTTATTTCGTGCATTTGTCTAGGATTATTTAAAGACCAATATCGCGCATTTTACCTATTACAACCCTTTCTTTCATCAGTCCATACAATGTTTTTCAAAAAATTATTATTCTCATTATATCTATTTAAAAAATCCAAACAAAACTCCTTGGACCTAGTTCTGCGCTTAGTTTTTCAGTTTGAAATTTAAATACATTATATATATATATATATATATATATATATATATATATATATATATATATATATATATATATATATATATATATATTCTTTCAGAACTGAATGGATTCATCCCTGAAAAATACCTGTCTCTTTATATACTCTAGTAATAGAGGACACTGGATGAGCTTCATCGAATATTTTCTTCATTTAAAACATCATGATTCTAGCGTACGTTTTTATATAATTTATGTAATTACTTCGACAATAATTCAACCATCAACATTGTTTGCTAATAAGTCAAACATAAACATATTTTTATTTTAAAAATATTGTTTTTCTACTCCCGTCTGTAAAATACCTAATTACCCACCGACCTAGTGTGCGGGAAGTGTCACTTTACCACGTCAGTTTCGTTTCCCACGAAGCCGAGTCACTTCGGACATTTCCGGGATTTTACCGCACGGGTTTGGGAGCAATTGGATGTTTTCGGAGATATTTCCCACGCTTTAAATTTTGACGTTTGTCAATTCTGACAGTCATGTCAGTGAATGTATTCGTATTTTGCGAAAATGTACCCAATGTACCTTGTAATCCGGATTGCATGATTCAATAATCAAAAGGTGAAATGCGAAAGGTGAAAAGACGAATATTAGACATACGAAAAAAGAAAGATAAAATAAAAAGGTACGCTTATCTTATCCTGTTACAAGCTGTTTAATAATAATATCTTACTCTCCAATATTTTAGATTAGATTTGTTTTATTTATTTATTTCAAAATACTCAAATTTTGAAGATGCTACAGAAAATTCATACAAATTTAAGTCAAAAGATATTAATATCGTTTATCTTCTCCAAGAGAGGAATTTCTAATGTAAGCTTAGTGACTTGAATGAAGATTGATTACTTTCTCACACAATATTACATACCTAAACTCCAATTGCTTCGGGGCAACATCGAACTTGGACTCGTAATATCTGTCCTTAAACCCATCCTCCCACAAACGCACTTCGTCATGAGCCTGATCGTCGTCGCTATCATTATCGACTTGATCGAACTTGCGCTTATTGGAAGCAACATTTGATTGAGAATCATCTTGACCGGCAGGTCTAAACATGCTCTGTAGAGCAGTCTTTGCGTCGGTACCTTGGAGGCCACTATCGACTTGTGAATTAGACTGAGTATGCATACCGGCCCTTCTTATATTGTAGGCCTCCTGTCGAGCATTTTGGACTGCCTGCTCCTGACCTATTGCCTTAAAAAAAAAAGATACCACTTTTCTGGGTTCCCAATTTCCAATGTAATGTTACCCTTGGCGCAAATTGGGTATTTTTTATGAGATTCCAATTTGGCCTGTAATCTGAATAGCCATCAGACCTCCTTTTTTTGGCCTTTTCCCGTGCCTTAAACTGCAGCTCTTTTTGTTGTCTAGTTTTGAAAATTTCATCTTCAGCTTTTCCTAGCTCTAACATTATCATTTGAACCCTTTCCAGATTCACGTCTCCGCTATCGGTAAGATAACCCTGAAATATTCAAATCAAGAAACATCACATACCAAATGACACAAAATACCATACCCCTGTCTTATAGACACAGTCCTTATACAAACGAATCAGGCGATCTATAGCGCCTTCTCTGATTTCCAAGCTTGGCAAGTGTGGTAGAAAATCATTACCAACAAAAAAACACATAAAAACCCAGTCGTCCAGTACTCTTTCAAACTCATATTTGAAAGGCAGATTCGGCATGCTAAGTTCTTTTTCCAAGTACTCCCGCAGCACGCATAATCTTACAAAAATAAAATCTGTTTCGGCACTTATAGTTTGTAGCGGTTCTTCTCCATATTCACTACGAACTCCTCCAATACAGTCTTTCATTTCATGACCTAAAAGTAAAACAGTACAGTCAAATGTACAATTAAAAAAAAAACAAGAAAACAATTTTAGATAGTAAACGTACCTAATTGACCACAAATATCGCAAGGTCTTGGTTTATTAGGCTTAAATTCTTCCCGTATAATCGTAAAGTTAGGTTCATGTGTAGCCAAACCTAACATAATTAAATCGGCATCAGCACCACACAGGACATGCTGAGTATTTGGATCATGATCCGGCTGAGCCCTTTGTTTTCTGATATAGTCCATAATTTTATGCTCTCCTTCTCCTGGCACATTTGCGTCAGACAAAATAACCTTTATTCCCCTCCACCCGGGATCATTGTTCAACCTGTCATGAATGTAATAATGCAGACATTCTGACAAACGGGCCATAAAAGGTGTACCAGGAGTAATACAATTGGAATCGAAGTGTTCCTCTTTAGGTTTCTCTGGTGGCAATTCACAACCCTTGAGCAGCAGTTCCGCCCTAATCCTCTTAATTTCATTTACTTTTTCTACTGTTTCCTTTGATGCTCGGAAACGACGAGACCTTTGCTGATTCATTTTGGCCCTAGGGGCGACCCCATCAATAGCCATATACAACAATTTGCGGGGTCTAACTATATTAAAGAGCCGATCAATACATTCGAATATAGCAATCATCATTTCATCTTCGTTCTTTGGAGCAGGCTTATCTTCAGGATGTGTACAGGGGTGTATAATACCGTTCATATCAAGATACAAATTGTCAAATTCAACCCCGTTTGGATTCGGCTCGCATGAATTTGTTGGTATTCGCGTTCCATTTACATCCACGGCCTAAAACAATTTGTTGTAAATACTTCAAAAATACCAAGAGAATGACTTAACCTTACTTTTTGTTCAACACACGGCACAATAACGGACGGGTATTTACGGCTTAGCCAACGAAAAAATGCCGGGACTCCCATCTTTCCTAAGAATAACTTTGGAAATGATTTGAATTTAGACTACAGTTATAAATTTTTAAAAAATATACCCCTATCTCCAAAACATATTAAATATCATAGAACACAAAAATTGTAAAAACTAATTTAACTGAAAAGTTCTCTTCTTTTAATATTTATTCCTTATCACTTATCATTAAAGATATGCATCGAGTATTATTATCAATTATCGAGAACTTGAGGTGCTTAAAACGAATAAATTGAACCGTTCTTCCCTAACATTTAGAAAGCTTTTACGAGTTTTAAGAATTTAAATCCCTTTTATGGAGTTGAAATTTCTTTTAATTTTTATTTTTAATTTCGTAGCATTACACCTACCACTACCTTGCGAAATCTAACCGATTGATTCAAATAACTTTGGCCAACAGAAATAATGACTAGAAGAAGAAGCCTTTATCTAAGATTCTAATGCTTTCTAGGGTTCCCTATATTTTAGTGTCTGTGTTTAGTGTTATCTGTTGCTAACTATATCCATCATTTACGTTAGAAGTTTCTTTGAACATATTTAACAATCGCAGAAACAATCATTGAAATTAGTCAATATTTCATTAATCAAACCTGTGTGAAATGGGTGATGTAGATGATTGCATCCAATGCTGCGACATTTGCAGAATTTGTTGTGAATGTGGTCTTTGCATAGGTAAACATTAGATTATTTGGTAATGTTGATATGAAACTTGTTGGAATATTAAATATATTTTAGGATTGTGCTGTCTTTGTTGCAAGGATAGCGACAACACATCAAGACGGAATCCCTATTATCAAGGTTTGGATTATATATAGGAAAACTTACTAATAAAAATCGAGTTCAGTACAATTAAATGATTTGGGATGGTGTATTGAAATTATATTTGCTCAAAAGGAGTTGAAAATATTTTTTAAACCTTTTTTGAGCAATTATCAAATTTTATATTTAAATATTTAAAAGAAAAAACTTTTTAACTATAAATGAGGAGTACCTGTTAAGTAACCATATAAATGCTTTATTTTATTTTTATTTTATTATCTATTGACTCCAGCCCAATAAAATTTTAACAGAGAAATGCAAACATTGTACTTGCAGGAAAAAATTAATTTAATATTATTACCACCACAATATTTGCACACAAAACTTTTCAAGCGTTAATCATCCTAATGAATCACGTTTAATGACGCGGTTTTAAAATTAAATAACCCTTATAATTAATATTAATCTCAATCGCAAATATTGAACCGGCAACAGTGGTACGGTCACGAGTGCTTTTGATCTTACCAATTTGTAAGCTGTGCTGTGTATATAATAAGACTAACCATTATGCTTCTATGGTGCTAGTGGTTTTTCTTTCATGTTTTGATAGTTTTTGGTTTCATTCTTAGAATTAAGAATGGATTAGTTCCTTGAAGCAAGAGTGTGAGTATCGCATAAATATTGCACCTGAAAACACTTTCGGTGTGTTCTCTTGAGACAGGAAAGTGAATGGCTGTGAACATTTTCGAAAATTAAATTTGGAGTTTTGAAATTTCTATAGCAATGGATATCATAGGTCCCATAGCATTTATAATAATTTGCTTGATAATCTTAAGTATTTGTGGCTGGTGCTGCAAGAAACGACGCCCCGGTTTTGTATATGGCCAACCAAGTGAGTAAATCACGTTTTGCTATTCAATCTTGATAATTGTTGGTAGTTGAATATAGAGAATTTTCTTTTTTTTTTCTTTTTTAGATGGTACAAATGTGACGGTTACTACTCAACCTGTTCACCAATCTCCATTAGTCAATCCCCCTTATCCTGTCCACCAAGGACCGACCCCTTACAACTACCCACCGCAAACTATGATGCCGATGCCCCAGCCACCGCCTGGTAATAATTCTATCTTTCGTTGCCTATGTCATATTGAATAAATCAAAATTTAGGTGTTTATCCTCCACCTGGCGGACCCCCTTATCCTCCGAACGCGGGTGCGCCTTATCCGCCTGGTCCGGTTCCGGGGATGGGAGCTCCATATCCGCCCCAAGTAGGAGGTGCATATCCTCCCCCGTATGATGTAGCAATGGCACAACCACCTATTCAACCACCTCCATCAAGAGAAGCTTATGGGAAACAGGCGCCTTACAACCCAAATTATTAAAGTTAAGTCACTACGTTAATTAATTTTTACTTTAGTCAAAGCTTTTGTTTTAAGTGTCAAGTTAAGATGCTGTTTGCAACTTTTTGTTGTATATCTGAGGATTTATATTGCAAATCAAAAATGCAAGGATTATCTCAAGCTGCATGTTGCTATTGGAATCCCATTTGTTTGCTCAGACTGTGACTTAAGTTTATTTGAATTGTTTTAAAATTATTGTTGTGTTAGCATTATTTTGTTTTAGCTGTATTCAAAATATTTTTTTCATGAGTGTGATGTGGGATAATAACTAATCTACTTGCAGAAGCCTTCTCAAGGAAAAAAAAATACTGACAATGATAAAAGCGACAAATAAATGTATATTTATTCATATATTTAAAAACAAAGAAAGGTCTAACAAGTAAAAAAAAAGCAAGGTTATAAGAGATCTGGTTCGTATCATCTTTTATGTATACCTAGGCTAGTTTGGTTAGTTTCGTTCTTTCGACTATATTAGCTCTAAAATTGAATACTTTTAAGCCTACATCCCCTATTGTTTCACTATTTTTGATACATTAAGCACCCTAACATGTTTCATTTCAAAGGAATACATCGGATTAAAGTCTCAGCTTTTTAATGACTTCACTGCCTTTATGTTCAAAAATGTAACATGAACTGATGAGATTAAGACTGTTAAAGATCAGCTTCGGGTAGGCCTGCCCCCCAGTAAAGTTGATGCTTTCAATGGTTATGGGATAAATAAATGGTATTTTAGAAGTTGCTTTGAACAAGTGAAAATAAGATAAATAAGAACTAAAAGTTCAGATTTTCACGAAATTATATATGTGACATTTGATAAAGACACGGTGTTGTCGAAACAATTGTCATGTCATAATATATAATTTCATGGAAATCTGAACTTTTAGTTCTTATTTATTTTGATAAATGGATTTTCATCAAGTAAAAGCCACCTCAGTTCAATTTTTGAAAATAAGATCTTTGAAATAAAGTGCAGGAAATGAATGCTTGCTAATCCGTTTGCTATCACCAAAAATCAACTAATTATTATTAATTATATGGGAAAATTTGCAGAGCTAAAACAAATCACTGAGATGTGCTTCCTGCAACGGCAATGAAATTAATTTCAAATTCTGCTAAAATCATTCCAAAATGGGAAATTTTTTTTTATGGGAAATTTTATTATATAAAGAAGCTTAATATTAATTTGTGTCCAGGGAACTGCATCCTGATTTTATTTATTATTATTTTTGTTATATTAATTGGTTAAATATATTTTTGTAGTAAGGCCTTCACAGATTCAAGGGGTATTTTCAAAAAATAAATATGTCCAAAATAAATTATATTTAATATGAAAAGTACGATTTAGTAATAAATGTAATGGATATCTGTGTGATAAAAACTTAAATGTTGATCCACTTATAATTAAGAAGTCTTATTGGCTGTTATATTATTGTATTATATTGTATTTATGTAAATAAACAAAATATGCATATATTATTTTTGCTCAATTTTCTGACATTCCAAAAAGACCACGAAATTTAAAAAAAAACTATATATTTAAATTTTAGTATTTTGTGTTTCTATTAGTTTTTTTTTAATTCCGAAAAAAATCTTTTTGTCATGATTTGGTAGAAAGTGAAATTTCCTTCACTGAGCTAAGTCAATGAAATTCCAATAAAAAACACAAAATGTTTTCTAATCTTCACAATTATGGTAAGTTAGCAATTGCAATATTTTTACAATTTTATTACATCATTATAGTTTATTGTAATTAAATAGTTTTTTGATATATATTGTTTGGTTTTCAAATACCACAAATCCGTAGAAAGATTGTGGAAATTACTAGATTAGATCGCCAGTAAAAATTGTACACAGACTGTAGATTAGAAATGTGATAAGAGTGAAACTTTACTTAAAATAAGTGGATAGAAAGCATAAACAACAATTTTGCAAACTACTAATTAAAATTTTACTAGATTTTACTTGCGAAATGCCAAAAAATGTTTGGTATTTTGAGTACAAAGCGAAAAGAAAACTGTCTGCAGGAACTTGAGATATCACGTACATATTTGCTTACGTATGTTTAAATTATGCATACCACATATCAACAGACGTTTTCTCACGTAGAACTTTGCCAGTGCTGTCTAAATCTGATAACGGCATTTTTTATTTACCTGATAGGTTTCAAGATGGCTCTTTCAGATTAATTTATTCTGTAATGAGTTTGTATGCCCTCAGTTCACGATTTGAATTAAGTGTATTGAACCACTCTTGGTACTGTAAATCCTAGAAAAATTGACTAGAATTATCATTATTTGACATATACATATCTAAAGAAAGAAACGCAAACAAACCTAACCTAATTGCATATGAATTGTTTTCTAAGGCTCTCGAAAATAAAGCCCTTCGCATGAATTTTAAATTTGAAGCAAAAGTTATTTATATTAAAATTGGGTGCTTAACTGATGACGTCACAATGTCAGCCCGTGCGGATTGTTAAACTAACCTAAGCTCTTTTATGTCTGGGTTCCATGGAATTGTCGTTGGATTACCGTAAATATTTAACGCTTTGTTTACATATAAGTTCGCCTGAATTTTCAAAAATATTTATCAGGTGCAGCTAGCCTATTTCGTGTTGCGGGCCACAATACATTCTAAAGGTGGTTTCGAAACGTGCTGCGGTTTTACAGTTTTCCTTACACGGACCTCAACCGGTAAGTTGGTTAGATTGAATCAAAAAATGTAACGTCATAAGTCACGTAGTTACCAATGACAAAATTAATATCTGCGGCAATTTGGCGACGTTTATTAATCACAACAAGCAGCTTTCGATAACAAAGTTTGAACAAAAATCACTTGTTATTTAAAAGTAAAATTGTAATGTATTTGTACGCGGAAAGACTAGTCGCTCTATATGAATATAATTATTCTCCATTCGGAATTATTTAGATCGAAAATCGAAATTAAAGAAAGCCCTATATTTGACTCATCCCACTGTTTACTATTTTTGAATAAATCACGTTTAGACCACGTTCGGATGTAAAGGGTCATATTAAAATGACTTAATATTAGGTATTTATATATTATTTGCGGAGATTTAAGTTTACAACATTGTCGGATTTGATAAATTTCGCAAACAACGTTTGTGCGATATCATTAGGGCAATAAACATAAAAGGGAATGTACATACATTATTTAAAATAAAAGATGTTTGTTTAAGAAAAAATGGTAGGTATATATTTTAAAATGTATCGCTCGCTTACAATTTTCTTATTATTTAAAATTAAATAAACAGTTTCAAGTCAGGTTTATATAATTATGTTTAAAATCACAGCACTAAAATTTCTTAAATGGATACACAAAGAATAAAAAAAAGTCACCCGCAAAAATTCGGATTGTACGGAGCTTGTTGCCGGTACACGACACTAGTGGTCGTTAGTGTCCCGTCTGAATAGTAAGACACTTGAGGTTGGTAGCAGTGATTCACATCGGGGGACGAATCCCGTTGCTGGGACGTTTCCAGCGCTTTCAAGTCTTTAAGAACGACATAATCTGCTTTCACGTCGACGTCACGTGACGCGAAATCTGAGAAAACATAATGTCGGGTGGTTGTTAATTTTTTGAGTGCGCGTCTCACCGAAGTCCGGTGGCAAAGCGCTGAACGGAACCAGATAGACCTGACTGTTGTACGAAGCGCTCCTTTGATATCTCCTCATGACATCTTCGGGCGATCTGATTTGGTCTGGAACGCGAAAAGGTACGATTTTATGCGATTGTTATTGATTAGTTTACGTCGTTACTGTATTATTCGCTTTCGTTGTTTGGAAATCGCATTAAAAGATCTATATCTCCTTTTTTTTTTAATTTTATCTTGAGGCTTAGTTTCACATTAAAAAAAGCCGCCGATAGTCTTGATTTAAAATTTCAATTAGTCGTAAGTTTGTTTCATTAACGTATCTAGAGTGCCATTACAGATAGTATTAAAAAGTTCTGTATTTTTAAAAATTACACTCTGTACAATCTCACAATACGTTCATTTCAAGTTTTTTTCTTTGAAATGAACTCGAAAAACCCTGTTTTGTCTTTTCAAAAGGACAACAACCCAGCATATTATCAACTTACCGCTTATCTCTTCTGGAATTACATATACCGAGGGAGATGATGCTGTTAGGATTCTTCTTCGTCGTATTTGTCCATGCTGTATGCGCTTTCTCCTGTCTAAATGAAATAAAATACATTTTAAATCCAAACAAAACTTTGTCAACGACCAATAAAACCAGCGTCCGTAAAAAGCGCCCCCTAGATACTACAACAGCAACTATTTTTTATTCTGATTCTTATTTTTATTTCTGTTGAATTTTGAATCGCCTAACATACTTTTCCAAATGGTAAATTTGTAGCAATTTACCAGCGCAAAATCATTGCTGAACCGATATTCTAGGTATAAACATTTTAAAAACATATTTTACCAATGCTGGCTAGAAATACGTATCTTCTAAAGCAAATAATAAGCACAGTTTTAAAATTTATTGATTTCGGATGTGTTCCCAAATGTTCTAGAATTTTTTTTTACAAATATTGGGATCATAATGAATACGTAGATTTTAGCCACGGTATTTTGACGTTCACAATTCTAACGGCCACTTCACCGGGTGAATGTATTCACGCCCTGTTGTAAAAATATACCCAGAAACTAATGGTCGTTGAAACAATTTAATATTCAGCATGTCGATAAACTTCAACTTTCGTTTATTAGGCACTCGCTCCGCTCGTGGCAAATGAAACTCGTGACTAAAATGGCTTTTATCAAACTTGGTGCATTATACATTATTCAGTCTCTTTGGGACCTTTGCATTTGTCAAGAATGGCAAGGCAATTGTTGACGTATAATTTCAAATTATTATGAAGTGTGCAGGGAGGCTCAAAAAAAAGAAATTGAACATCTATTTTTATATTTTGTTTTGAATCCGTTTTAAAAATTTTCAACGTTTTTATTAATAATAATACATAACTAAACCTAATAGTTTTTCCAATATTTTAATTTTTCTAAAAAAAATCCAATTCTCACACTTCCGATTGCACATTTTTAAACCACTCCTATTTGATATTAGCGTTATCCAAAGATGCCGGAATTTGAATTCGATGCTACAGGATGTTCAAAATAATCGAATATAAACTTGCGTGCACAGAAATTGTAGGAACTTTTGAGATATACCTTTTGAAAGACAATTTAATATGTTTTTTCCACAATTCGAAAGCCGACTTCTGTAATGTAATCTTGCACGACAGTTGCGGTGTGTGGCCTAGCATTGTCATGCATAAAAATTAATTCTTCTCCAACGTAGTCGACATATAGTACCACGTGATTTGATAAAAGATGCTCCTGTCCCTTGACCACGGCCGCCCCTACTTCCGCCCTTCATTGCAGCATTCTGAAAGGTCTTACAAAAACCTACTACTTTAATTATGTATGTCATATATCTACTGTTAATACTTCGCAATTTACTTTAAGTGTACCGATATTTACCCTTCTTTCTGTCTAAGACATGGGCTATGTAGTTAGCCGTGACAAAATGACATTGTCAAAATTTTGCCTGACAACTGAGTTCATAAAATTTTTTGTCGTGTAAGTATGGGTTTTTGTAAGAATTTTCAAAAAAAAAAAATATGTGTTATTTTAAAAAATCGAGATTTTTCAATTTGAAACGATCCAAAAGTAGTAGTAGTAGTAGTAGTAACATTTATTTCAGCAATTAGATGATACAATCAAAAATGTATTAAATGCACAACTAATTTGAGAAATTTGTGCGTATGCATCTTAACTTACTAGTTAATCCGAAGTTCATATTAATATTTAATTGAAATTGAATTAAATTAGATCACATTGTTATTAAATTTATCACTCACTTAATTTTATTAACAGTTAATTTATCACTAGTCAACATTAACCAACCAGGAGTCAACAAGCCTAATTCCTTATTTTGCGAATTTATTGGGCTCGCTCCGTACATTCGATATGGAATACAGTCCTGCAAACGACTTGAAATGTTGACAACGGCATATGGTGAATCTACTTTGAACAAAAAAAAATGTTTATAAGTGGTACAAGCTGTTCTATCATGGCCGAGAAGATGCCGATGACGAACCTCGTACTGGACGCACCAGCACGTCAATAACTGATGAAAGCGTTGAAGAAGTGAAGCAAATGGTGTTGAAAAATCGTCGAATTGCTATTGGACACGTGGCTAAAGACGTCGCACAGTGGGCGAGGGAAACCCTAGGTGTTTGACTAATTCGATTTTTTTGTAATGCCAATAAATTTTACTTAATATTAATAAAAATATAATTGTTATACAGAGTGTTCACAGAAAAACTTTATATTTACAAACAGTTTTTAATTAAATCGTGAAAACTGTTTAATAACACTGCGCAAAATGTAGAAACATTTTGAAATAATTATATTTAATTAAATACAAAAATAATAATGCAGGGTATTGAACTGAGATGGCTTTTACTTGATGAAAATCCATTTTTCAAAATAAATACGAATTAAAAGTTATTTTCACGATATTATATATTTTTACATGACAATTGTTTCGACAACACCCTGTCTCTATCAAATGTAATATTTACAAACTACCTGATAGTATATATACCGAAAAATGACAATAAAATTATTGTTGTCAGAACCTAAGTTCAATAATCGTTAAGCAATACATTTGAATGTCCCTTTTGTTAATCTCCATGGCTTCCAATAAATTTAATTTGTGGCTGTATGTAAAATATCAAAATTGTAGTCAAAAATGTGTTTTTCTGTGTTTATGTGTTCTGTGTTATGTTAGTTAATGGGTTTTCTACCTGCTTGTCCAATATAAATTTTAGGACAAGATCCGCATTTCAACCTGCAGACACCTGATTTTTGAGATTTTCGACATTGCGTTTTCTTGTTTTTTAAAAATTTTTCTATTGTGTTGTTAGTTCTGAAAGCTATTTTTAAACCATATTTTGACAAATGTTTTGAAACTTTTTCACTGGGTTCTCCTGTGTATGTAATTATTTAAATTGTTCGTGTTCTGTATTAAGTTTCGGATAAATAGAGTTGTCTGGATTTGTTTTTTATTTATAATTTTATCTATAATGGGCGGATTATAGCCGTTGTTCAGTGCAATATATTTAATGATATCAAGTTCTTTTTTGTAATTTTCTGTTGAGAGTGGCGTATTAAGAGAAGTCTGTGTATAAAAGAGTGAAATGCACCGATTATGTATGTATAAGGGTGATTTGAGCTGTTATGTATGACTGTGTCCGTGTGTGAAGGTTTATGGTAAATGGAAAAGTCTAATTTGTTTTGCGTTTTCGTAATAATTAAGTCTAAAAAATTAATAAAGTTATGCTGTTCAACCTCGATAGTGAAATTTATACTATTATGTAATGAGTTAATGTAATTTAAAAAAGAATTAAAATTGTCTGTCCGTTCCAACAAAGCAAGCAAAGAAATCACATACTTAAAGTATGTTCTAGTATGATACTGTCCAAACTATCCATAAAAATCTCGGCTAACAAAGGACTAAGTGGGTTTCCCATAATCAAACCTTCCTTAGAGATGTAAATCTGTCCATTAAATTCAAAATAATGTTGGTCTACAGATACTATTAAGCAATCTAATAAATCTTGTTTCACAAATGGATTAACCTGTTTCGGAGCTGGGGTGAAATCTACTAAATCTATCACATCCATAAGTGGAATACTGGGAAATAAGTTTTGTACGTCAAAAGACAATAGTGTTACGTTAGAAGGGATTTTGATATCTTTAATTTTGTTGATTAGTTCAAAAGAATTTTTTATTGCAAATTTTGGTTTAAAATCTGTGCGGAACTTTAAAATATTTACTAATATTGTTGAATGTGTAACTGCTGGAACTGTTACATCAGACACGACTGGTCTAATGGGCATATTTTCTTTATGTAATTCAACTTGTTGTGGATTCATAATTGTTGAAAAATATTTGTCTTTGTCACTAAATAGTGTGGAGTTAGCACTGAAAACGGCTACAATCCGTCCATTATAGATAAAATTATAAATAAAAAACAAATCCAGGCACAACAGTAAACTCTATTTATCTGAAACCTAATACAGAACATGAACAATTTAAAACAATTACATACATAGGAGAACCTAGTGAAAATGTTTCATAACATTTGTCAAAATGTGGTTTAAAAATGGCTTTCAGAACTAACAACACAAAAGGAAAATTTTTAAAAAACAATAAAACGAAATGTTCAAAATCTCAAAAATCAGGTGTCTACAGGTTGAAATGCGGATCTCGTCCTAAAATTTATATCGGACAAACAGGAAGATCCTTCAAGAAACGCATTAACGAACATAAAACAAACAATAGTCTAGATTCTAATTATGCTACACACTTAAACACAGAAAAACACATGTTTGTTGACAACTTTGATATTTTACATACAGCCACAAAAAGTAGAAAATTAAATTTATTTGAAGCCATGGAGATTAACAAAATGAGACTTCCAAATGTATTGTTTCACGATCAATTAGATTTAAATACCTCTCCTTTATTGAACTTAAATTCTCACAACAACATTAATTAAGGTTTTCTTATCATTTTTCGGTATATGTAGTAGCAGGTAGTTTGAAAATATTACATTTGATAAAGACACGGTGTTGTCGAAACAATTGTCATGTAAAAATATACAATTTCGTGATAATCTGAACTTTTAGTAAAATTTATTTTAATACAGGGTATCCCAAAATGAACAATTTAACGAAAAAAATATTTTATATAGATTCAAACAAAATATTTTTATCGTAACAATTCATTCATCGTTGCTTGTGTCTAACTTTTTGGCCAAAAACAAGACCATAATCATGCCTCAGCCACCACATTCACCGGATATGGTCCCCTGCGACTTTTACCTGTTTCCAAAACTCATGACACCCATGAAAGGAAGGAGGTTTATAACGATTGAGGAGGTACAGAAAAACTCGCTGGAAGAACTCAAGGCTATACGAGAAAGTGCTTACCAGAAGTGTTTCGAGGATTGGAAGGAACATTGGCATTGAACACCCCTGACATAGATGCAGATCCAGCATCACGATAAATTTTTGTCTTCTTTTAAATATATATCTTAGTAGGCTGCGAAAAAATGTCGCACATTTTAAACAAGACGTGTCCGAAAAAATGTCGCAAATAACGCAAATGGAGTATAGAGCAGTCATAAAGTTTTTAACAAAAGAAGGGTTAGCACCTAAAATTATTAAAGAAAGGCTGGATCGTGTGTACGGCCAAAGTTCTCCTTCGTATTCTGTAGTGAAAGAATGGGCAAAACGTTTTCGAATGGGGCAAGAGTCCCTTGAAGATGATTCAAGAACTGGTCGACCAATGGAGGTCATAACGGAAGATATTGTTGCGATTGTGGAAGAGGTGGTATTGAGTGATCGACGCTTAAAGGTCAATGAAATCTCAGAAATTACTAAGCTTTCTACAAGTGTTCGTCGAATCCTGCATGATCATTTAGGTATGCATAAGGTTAGTGCAAGATGTGTTCCTAAAAACCTTTTGGCTATTCAAAAACAACGCCGTGTCGAGTATGCGCGGTCATTTTTGGGACTCTGTGGGTGGAAACCGAAGAATGTGATAGAAACTATTGTGACGGGAGATGAAACTATGGTTCTCTATTATGACCCTCTATCAAAAAAGGAATCAATGGAGTGGCGTCGTAAGGGTGAAGCATCTCCAAGAAAATTCAGAGTCTGCCAAAAAAGGTGATGGCCACGATCTTTTGGGATTGTGAAGGAATTCTTTTGATAGATTTTAAAGAAACTAATACCACGATAAATGGTAAATATTACGCAATATTATTACATAAATTGCGAGGTTGCATACGTGTAAAAAGTCGAGGAAAATTGACCAGAGGCGTGCGTCTTTTGCACCATAATGCACCTGTCCATACTGCTGGTGTTGCACAAGCTGTCATTTTAGAGTGTGGGTTCCAACAGTTAGATCATCCTCTCTATAGTCCATATATGGCCCCCAGTGACTATTATTTGTTTGGATTTTTGAAAAAGGGCTTACGTGGACGGCGGTTTAACGAAGTTGAGTTAAAAGAGGCTGTTTTAGTTCATTTTGCAGACAAACCAAAAGAATATATTTTTTAAGGGATTGAGTTGTTTATAAAGCGATGTAATAAGTGTATTGAAGTTAAGCGGGATTATATTAAAAAATAATACAAAATTGTTGCTCTACTTTGTTTCTTTCATATTCAGGCCTGGACATTTTGGCGCTGTCCTCGTATTTCTTTTACGTAATCTTCGAATAATTATTATTAATAAAAAAAAAGTTAAGAATTTTTATTTTTTTTTAAATATCTACGTTTCTCCAAGAAGGTTGAAATTTTTATCGAAGATGGAGGTCAATGAGGTCTATTCGTAAATACCATTAAGTCTGGCCCCAACCCCCTCAATTCATAATTTTCATGGAAGTCATGATTTTCCTCAAAAATTCTCGTTTTTAATTTTTTTGAAATATCTACGTTGCTCCGAGAAGATAGTAAAGTCCCCCCCAGTACCCACCATTTGATTGTAATTAATAATTAATATTAATTACAACCATAATATTCATATATAAGCTTCTCAACACCCCAAAAAAAAAAGAATTTGATGTTTTAAATGCCACGCGCATTATCACGCTAAAATGCGTTTTCGAATATATTATATATTATATTATATTATTATATTATATTATATATAGTATTACTATCGCTATCATCGCCTGTTCTAATTATTATTTGTTCCATATGCAATTGGATATACGATCGTTCTGCTTTTTCTATATGTTTAACAGAATTTGCCCAACTTTGTGGAGGGATGTTAAAAACTTGTTTCTGTAAGTTTGACGGCATTGGAGTTAACACGGGGAAAAATATTGTTACGACGAATGGCAGATTTCAGTTGGTTAGCCTTAAAATTGTATGCCCTACATTTTTTGCATAATTATCAGAGACGTATTCCTTTTGTAGGTTCAAACTTTGTAGAACCTCAATGAATTTCTTCGTGAAAAGAATCTTTAATATTTTTCGCAGACAGAGAAAGTTCATTTGGAATCCAACCATCTTTAGAGACAGCATGCAAAGTAATTATTCTTTTTCCTCTTTTTGATGGCGCGTTTGTTTTACACTTATCAGTTGAGTCAACCCAACCCTTTTCCGGGGTATTATAAGTGTCGAACCAGGTTTCATCCAAGTAAATAATTGGCCTTTGTTGTTCTCTGTAAATCCTAATTTTTTCTAGATATTCCAGTCGCCATTTCCGAATTCTAAAAGATTCCATTAAAACTGGCCTTTTGTCAATTTTTTTAAATCTAAAACCCATGTGTTGAATACACTTCCATGAGGTAGTTCTTCCACATTTAACACCGGTTCCATATTTTTCAAGCCTCCCAATTAAGATATCTAATGTAGGCTCGCTTTGTTCTTTGTATAACTGGTAAATTTTGCGCCGTATTATATCTCGATCACTTTCATCTACACTCGAGAGAATATCAGCATCGCTTCTTTTTTTCCTCGCTGAAATGGGATTATTCACAATTTTCCATACAGTTGATGTTGGAATTTTCGTCAATGTGGCCGTTTCTTCTAAAGATGCTTGCTTTCTGTCACCACGTCCAATGAGAGTCAAATAAACATCGTTTATAACTTCCTTAGTCTCAATAAAATAGTGTTTTCTACATTTGGGCGGGAGCATCTCCTGAGATACACTAAACTCGCACATATTTTGCATAATTCGCACACGATTCAACACGCGCTGTATTATACACGAAACAAGAATGATTACTAATAAACTTAAACTAAGTAGTATACCAAACCAAAGAATATTAAACACCCTTGGATAATCCCAGTCAAAGGCAATTGGTCACTTTCTTCTATCTATGAACAGACCATACTTACAGAACCACACGGTCAAGATCAGCACGACGATGACGACGCAGAATAACGTGACGGGTACAACGATTCTGTAATCGATTTCGTGGTCCTGATGATGGTCCGAGCGACGACGGAGGTTTTGGTCTCGCTGTATCCCCGTTTCCTCGACCTTCATTGCGATTTTCGACAATCACGGCAAATGTTTTTCATGCGTTAACGCGAGAGACAATCGAAAGCGGCTCACTTTATCTCATTCCGCTTCAATTTTCGACGCTGTCAGATCCGTTACGAATATGATCTGCTCTCGCGATTTATCAACACGCACAGCCAGATCGACATCTGATGTTAAGCATTATAACGGCTATTGTGTTATCGCGAATCGTACCGATAACACATAATGTTAATCATTTTAATGGATCCCGGAGTTATATACTTACTCGAAAGAAAAAGACCCCCCGCTTCACACGGGGCACTTGAAATTTGTGGCGCAATTGCAATTAGACGTATTGTTGCGCGATCACTTGCTGGTCGTGTTCTTGCCGGGGGAATCACGTAGAAGATAAGGCAGAGCAAAATAGAACCTCATACGGCGGCCGGAATAGGCTTAACCCTTTGCATGTCGCCGTATATCATTACAGCAGGTTGGTCGGTCTGTCATCATCCCCTAAGCTCATTTCCAATATTTCCAAATTGCTTTCTTGAACCTTCGTAGGGGACAGGTTTACGTAAAAATAAAAGATAGCATGATATTTACGAGGGCAGCGCCAAAATTTCCCGGCCCGAATATGAAAGAAACAAAGTAGAGTAACAATTTTTTATTATTTTTCAATATAATCTCCCTTAACTTAACAACTCAATCCCTTTAAAAAATGTTCTTTTGGTTTGTCTGCAAAATGAGCTTCTTTTAACTCAGCTTCGTCGTTAAACCGCCGTTCACGTAAGTCCTTTTTCAAATATCCAAACAGACAATAGTCGCCGGCGGGCCATATCTGGACTATAGGGAGGATGATCTATCTGTTGGAACCCACACTCTAAAATGGCAGCTTGTGCAACACCAGCAGTATGGTCAGTTTTCCTCGACGTTTTACACGTATGCAGTCTCGCAATTTATGTAATAATGTTGCGTAATATTTACCATTGACCGTGGTATTAGCTTCTTTAAAATCTATCAAAAGAATTCCTTCACAATCCCAAAAGATCGTGGCCATCACTTTTTTTGTTGACCGACAGATCCTGAATTTTCTTGGAGGTGCTTCACCCTTACGACGCCACTCCATTGATTCTTTTTTCGATAGAGGGTCATAATAGAGAACCATAGTTTCATCTCCCGTCACAATAGTTTCTATCACAGGCTTCTGTTCCGACCCATAGAGTTCCAAGAAAGACCGCGCACACTCGACACGGCGTTGTTTTTGAATAGCCGAAAGGTTTTTAGGAACCCGTCTTGCACTAACCTTATGCGTACCTAAATGATCATGCAGGATTCGACGAACACTTGTATCCGAAAGCTTAGTAATTTCTGAGATTTCATTGACCTTTAAGGGTCGATCACTCAATACCACCTCTTCCACAATCGCAACAATATCCTCCGTTATGACCTCCACTGGTCGACCAGTCCTTGAATCATCTTCAAGGGACTCCTGCCCCATTCGAAAACGTTTTGCTCATTCTTTCACTACAGAATACGAAGGAGAGCTTTGGCCGTACAGACCATCCAACCTTTCATTAATAATTTTAGGTGCTAACCCTTCTTTTGTCAAAAACTTTATGACTGCACTATACTCAATTTGCGTTATTTGCGACATTTTTTCGGACACGTCTTGCTTAAAATGCTGTCAATAAAAAACTATTTGACGCAAGACTTCCATTTTTTTTCGCAGCCTACTAAGATATATATTTAAAAGAAGACAGAGTTTTATCGTGATATTGGAGCTGCATCTATGTCAGGCCGGGAAATTTTGGTGCTAACCTCGCACTATACTAGCATGCATATCAGGTAATTTAATGTTATTGACATATTTCAGGAACACAACTGGAGAGTACGTGGAGGTAACGTACAAGTTACAATCAATTACAATAAATTTATCTGAAGTATCGACCGCGCAGACCTTTATGCAGCGTCATACTGTTTCCTGGTGGCGAAACTTATTTTTCTGGGAAATGTCTAATGTCAATGCATATTTTTTATATAAAACTAGATATATTTGTGACACTTGCACCCGAATGCCCGGACTACACATTGTGTATGAATTTATTTAAAAAGCAGCTTTTGTAAAGCGATTTTTTTTAATTAAAAAAAAAACAATATAAAAAAATCCGGGTAGACAGATAAGTAGATAAAATAGTCCGACTACAGTGTACTCGCAAAAGGACATATATACGAATGCAAAGGATAAACCTTTTGTTGAGTCGTATTTGCTGACGTTTCGCCAATCATTCTGTTGGCTTCTTCGGAGCTTGACGAAAACGGGCTCGTATTTTACTCTGTACCTACTTATATACTGTTTGAGGGGGACCGACCTAAAGGAGTGGCATGAACATCGTCTCGGATGACCCATGTTGGCACTTTAAAAAGCCATTGCTTATATGTGTTTTAAATATACTCCAAAGCTTTAATGGATTCTCCACAAAATTATATATAGACCATTCCGCCATGCTATGAGGGGCAAAAACATGACTGACGGATGACTGATTTAAATCACGATTAAAATCATTTAGAATTTTTATGGAGACCAAGACAAAATGATCAGCGTAAAAATATTAACAGCAATAAAAAGTAAAACGCAACTAAACGCAAAACATAAGACAATTAACATAATAATGCTTATGTTTCTGCATTTTCGATGTATAGTTCGAACCAAAATACCAATTTTCCAATTTTTTTCTATCCCCATCCTGTTCCTTATATCTGAGTGTACAAAATCAAGTTCGGAGGAAGCAGTTGCGCACAGGAACTGTTTTATTATTGGTAGCTGTTTCGTAATTTCTGGTTAATCGTTTTGTGATATTCGCCACTGTATTCCACATATTGCCAATAAATGTGGAAATCTTGAGTTTTTTTAATTTTTGATAAAGCTCATTCTACAACATTCTCGAAGATTTTTAAATATTTCCACTGTTGTACAGGATCTGCTCTGCGAAATATCAAGAGCAACTGATATTGGTGTTTAACATGCTAAAATATTCTTGTGCATCATGTTACAGCGCAATTTTGTTTTCTTAACGGATTTTTAATAATATATCCCATCGAGTGACAATCAGCCACGATATTCCATCGCACATCTAGATGGTTTATCGATTTAGACTACACGTTCTTTGATGCCTGGTATTTCTAAGTCTCTGCACAGTGAATTTAAAATGTTTGCATAGTAGTCATTGAGCCCGTCTTTTCCTGCTCCTTAGCCGTCATGCTGTAATTTACGTGAAGATATTAGTTCACAAATTACTTCAATCAAATATTGTGGAGTATGAAGTTTTCCCGAAGGATTAATAGTTTCGTAACAAAGCACATCTTCAGTTGTAAATATAACTAAACATTGTCCTAACAGGGAAGAAAGACATTTTGCCTTTTTTTCCTCATCGATGTCATCCAAAAGGCTTGTGGATAACGTTTTTCTTATTGGCGAAGTATGACCGGGAAGGACAACAGTGCTTTTGCACTCATTGTCTTTGGAAAGTGTATTTTGTGATGGAACGCTTAATAGCTCTAATGTGGAAATTATTAGAAGAGGAAATGTAAGATGTTTTAACTCTGTTTTATGGGTCTGGAAACAAGATTAATAACCGATGATTTTGAGGGCGAATGGTGATCGGACATCGCATTAACTCATATTACCCAAAGCATACAAAAACATTAATTAAATGCTTTTTTGCTCCGAAATTATTTATTTTGTTGCGCTTAAGGATACATTACACATGTCAAAAAAAAACTCGAAACATACAAAAAGATACTAGTGCATAAACATGTGGCACATAACACATAAGATATAACATATATTTTATACATAAATATACAAAAGAAATTTCAAATTCGACAGAAAACAACCAAAAGTAGATTGTTTTCCAAATAGAAACCTGATTTGATACAAAAAAACGCATAATATTTTATGGTGCGCAAGCCGGTTTCATTTTTGCTGATATTTTACAAAGCATGAAGTATGCAAATGCACATTACACATATTACAAACGTAAATTGTGTGGCTGTGGTAGATTCTACATCTCCTTCGGGAGGTGACCTTGATTATCACAACGCATTTCATCTATGGCAGGTGCAAGATTTCATTGAGTAATTGTTTCATCAGTTTTTAAAAGTAGCAAAACAATATAAGTTTTAGAATCAAATCAATCACTTCGTCATCAAAAAAACATAAAAAATATTTCAAGCGGAGTTTTTCCAGAAAGCCTATTTTTTAGTTCCTCAATCTTACCTTTCTTCCATTTGACAGTGGAAGCAAGCCTGTCATTTGCAGAAAGCATACGTCCTCTTTTGAATTCGAGGGTTTCATCATCTGATGAGTCCCATTCAGGTTCAGTAGTTGATGAACTACAGGACTGTTGAAGGACAGTTGCATCATTCGGTGTATGTAACTCGAAAGTTTCAACTATATCAGTTGGTTCCCCAAACTCTTGTAGATTTATGTTATCGTTCGTATCTTCTTCGTCAGTCAAGGTATCCACATCGACCTCGTCAATGTGTTCTGCTAATATTTTTTCACGTTATTTCTAGCATAAATTTATGGAATGCTACAATACATAACAATACGTAAATCCAAATAATACTTACGACTTTCATTGTTATTGTCCTCATCCATCACGATCTCCTCCATAGCCGCCTCTAATTCCTTTTGCGTCAAATACTTCGGAAATGCCATATTTTACGAACCGTAACGGTCCCTGCACAAGGCACAAACTAATACTAAAGAACACGCTAATTGTTGGATGTTTATTTTACACGCGCTGACTTGTCTAGATTTGCAATAACAAAATTTTGTTTCACAGATAAAACCAGTGGTGCATTCAAGCACCAGTAAATATTTTCAGAAAATAAAGCATAATCAATATAGTATTTCCAGTGTATCTTTTCTGCGATGTGATCTACATGCTATAGACGTAACAAAAATGGCAATACAAATTAAAAATATTTTTTTTTACTATTTTGGTTTTTGGTTTTACACATAAATTAGCGATTTCTACGGTTTTATGTCCTTTAGTAGTGATAATAATAAAATTTCTAAATGGATGTACAAAAATATTTCCTGGATGTGAGCACCACTGGCACAAAATGGGTTGGTATCGGTCTGTGTGCGTAGGTTTAAGTTAAGATAAGAATATCCGGACTAAAAATCTAAAATTCTTGCATGTAATCAATTGTTCTACCAA